TTCTCGATCAACACTTGTCAACAAAAAGTTATTAAATGCTAGTAGTCCACCTTTGATTTTGACCATTTGTTCAAAGTGTCTTAGTGACAGTTCTTGATCACGATAAACTGTGAATAATGTTGCATATGCTTTTTCAGCGAACTGTTGAAGATGAAGATCGATGATGTTGTTGTGAAGATCTCGAACAAAAAATCCCATACTAATAATGAGATCTATTTCCATCATGCACAACGATCGATTGAGCATCGAATAAAGAAAAACATTGGTACGTTGACCACCATATCAGGACATGTTCATAGTATTCTCATTCAAATTTGTCGACAACTATCAGTGCTCTAGCATCATTCTCGAAAAGTTGATGACAGTACGAAATAAATTCATTGAAGTGTGCGTTGTTGGAAATTAATGATTAATAAGATTTTTTAAATATTGATGTGCATATAAATAATGGATCTAATTGATCTAGATTTTGTTTTTTGGTTTCTATCACTAGTGGGTACAAACTTGATAGTAACCAAATTTTGATAACATTTGAATGCAGCTTATTAAAGTACTTTAGAGATTGAGGCAATATCTGTAAATACACCATTTAGTTTTGACCATTGTTTGACCTAACCTTCATTTTGGGCTTGGTTCTTACTTAAAATATACATAGTATTAATTTATGGAATGTCATGCACGATAGGAATAGTTGTTTGTCCCGAAGGCATCAGAAAGGATGATAAATATTTTCTGTTCTTAAATATCGGTTGTAAAATCGAGGCACTTATTTATATCTATGATGAGATATATCTTGTTGACAGCTTCTTTTAATTTGTTGATAATATTGATACAATAGCAGTTATTCTTGTCATCAATATTGGCATCGAGTCATACCACTAGGAAGTTTTCAACCGTACGAGCATAAGGAGGCCGTTGTGCTCTTACGCTCGTATGTTAAAATGGTGTGACAGCAGTAGCAATTGCTGTTGTTGACTTTTTCTTTTTGTCCATGGTGTATATTGTATTTGGTCAATGAAAAATTGCGAATAAAATTACTTGAATTTATAGAATATGTTGTAATTTTTTTTCTAGATGTATCTATTCGTTTGCGATTGTTGTTATCATTCAAGTTCTTTTTCTTTTCGTTTCATTTAAGTGCTTCACTCCTTTTTTTTATTGGTAGTCGTTTCGGATATCAAAAGAAAATGAATGTCTGCTCAATTAAAAATTTAGTATCATACGAAGTCCATGAAAGTATAGATAGAAGATTATTTTTGTTGCTAAGATTTGCTTTTTTTAAATGAAAAATTAATTAATAATAGCATTGAATACGAAAACTATTTTTTACATCTATATTGTCACACTATGCTCAAGGAAAAATTCAATGAAACTATCATGACTAATTTTGTTTTAAAAACGAGACATAACATTCATGATATTCTTCTATGGTTTCGTTATTATATTGTTGTAATCTATATTCAGTTTTAAAATGAGTTCGTTTTGAATATTTTCATTACAAGATATTATTTTAAGAATATATTATCACTCTATTCTTGAATATAAAAATTTAATTATGAACAATTTAGTGAATTTATTTTGTCAAGTTTACATAATATCATTGACATATAATTTGAATAACATATGCAAGTAGCACTGAAATGTTTTTATATTTTATTGAAAATATCAAGATTTTATAATCATTGACGAGATTCATGTTTATATCTGTATTATTTTTCACAAGTAATTATTCGAGAAGAGATAGGCATTATTCTAATTATTTATAATGTTTTTTCTTTCAATAGAATTACTTCGTTTTCAAAGTAACTCTATGGATAAGATTCAGAAAAAAATTAAAAATTGATGTAATTTGAATTCGTCATATAGAAAAATATAAGATTAAAATTTATACAGCTCGTAAGTTTTATTTTTTTCTGTTTCTTAATAAACTTTTGTACAAAAACAAGTATTTAACAATGACAATTCCTTTCAAAGATGGAAAACCAGTTGAAAAATAAAAATAAATGTATGTTGTTGTTGTGTTTTGAATTTCAATGTTTTTTTTTTTTAGTGGAGTTCATGTCTCACTAAGTTTATCAAACGAATAAGAAGAAAAATTAAAGAATAGAAAAGAAAAAAAAAGAAAAGTTTGAATATTTAGTTTGTTTATTTAAGTTTTGGTGCGCCAGCAACAATACCACTTTCAATACCACATTCATTTTTGCCACGAAGCATTTTGAAGAATCCTTTATCTCCCCAATCTTCATTCCATGCTAAATGAAATAAATTTCATAATGATTATTTTACATACTCAAAAAAAAAAAAACTTACAATTAGCAATAAGCCAGTATGGTGTTGAATTTTCTACACCCCAACCAAGAATCTTGACAGCTGTAAAATAAAAAGAAAATCATTGATTAAATCACGAATCAAAAAATACTAAAACAAATACAAACCATGTCCACCAAGAACTGAACCAGATGTGTGTTTGTAAACACCTGATTTATATGTAAGAAAATCAGCATAGACAGTAAAAGCAGCTTCAACTGGTCCATTTTTGAAGAGTTCAGTTTGAATTTGTTTTGGATCTGAACGAACTGAATAAACACTATCACCATAATGTTTGTCTTTAGCATATGGAGTTGTATAACCATCAATACATTTCGTTTTACAAGGTGGTGTTGGTTCTTCACCTTGACACTATATTTCATATGAAAATAGACAAATTAGTCAAATAATAGTTTATTACAACTTACTGGTGGTAAACTTCCATTGACACTAAAAAACAAAAAACAAAACTTAAATGAGAAAAACTAACATTGTCTAAGTAACATACTGGTGATCACATGCTTTAATTGTGTATGGTTCACAACCTTCTTTTGAATCGTAATTACCACCGGTAACTAAACCGTCACTTTTGTAATATGACCAAGCAGATTGTGGAAAACCGCCATCACATCCGAAACCACATTCATCACAACATGCTGAATAGAAGAAAAATATAAATATGAAAAAATAAATATAAATATAAAGAAAAATACATACAAAGAAGATCTTCAGCTGAAATGTGAGCACTTTGAGCTCCACTTGAAGCAATACAAACACGATCAGACATAGCTTCAACAGCACCAAAAGCCCAACAACTTCCACAACTAAAAAACAACATATTTGAAAAGATTTATTTTTTGAAATTTATATTTTAAGAAAATATCAAAACCAACCTTCCTTGATCACGAACTTCTTTAATTGTTGCACAATTTGGCCATTGATCACGAGCATCAAAATTATCTGGTAAATCTTTTGGTAATTCATGTTCAATTGGTGTAAGATATTTATGTTGTTCGAAATATTCTGGACGAACACCCATTAATCGTTTAACAGATTCTAATGACCATGACATAAATTTTGATGGTGCTGCTTCCCATGTTGATTGTGCTGCGTTAATTCTTTTAATAAAATTCTCTGTAAGAAATGGTTTTCGTTTAACAATACGACCATTTACGACGGCTAAAGCCAAACAAACGACGAAACAAAGACGAAGAAACATAATATATTGCTCTTAACTCGATATGTTGTTGACAACAAGTAAAATTTAAGACTAAATAGCCTTTATATATATGTATATACGAGAGATAAGAGTGAAATAAATTTTTTTTTTTGCCATGTATTGCTCACTCATAATGATGATAAGTTATTTCTTATCATTTTTTTTCGGAGATATTGTGTTGTTGCAAGGATTCGTCTCTTATCTTTGTGCAAAACATGAGATGGTTATTTCAAGGGCAAAGGCAAAAGAAACTGGGGTTTTGTGACGTTTTTGCCGATAAAATAAAAAAAATTAGCCTATATGACATCAAAATTTTGAGAGCTTTCCAAAAGTTCGACAATATCAAATGTTTGTTTTTTTTTTTTTGTCGTTCAAAATTTATTCATAGACAATAATTTACACATAATTGAAGGTCATATTGTCTTTTTTTTTCTTCAATATACAAATTCAACTTAGAAATCATATTCAATTATCTATTTTTTTAATAATAATTAAATGAATAAACACATGAACAGTTCGAAAAAAAAAGAAAAGAAAAATGAGATAGAATAATTTCTTTCTAACTTGAAGGCCATCATTATCGTGGTTATACACACGTTTGATGATTCAGTCAGAGGACGTTTTCATTCAATGCTAACAATTATATGAATATATTGCGTTGTCGTTATACACACAACAACGATTATTTTTGCTCTCATCACACGACTCATCATTAAACATGTACGTCTCCTATGCCATATTTGATCAATGTGTATGATATGAATCAGTTCGAGAACCAAATGATATATACACATTTGTATACACAGTAAATGATAGGTCTCATATACATTATCGGCTATAAATATACACCTACAGTTCTTGTTTCGAATTTTCATACAAAAAAACATCATTAGTTTATATTTTAATGATGATCATCATTATTGAAAGAGTAGATGTAGGCGGAAGAAGGAGAGAAAAAAACCCGTATATATCGTCTTGAGTAAACTATATTATTGCTTCTATTTTTTCCATTAGCTGTAGGCATGAGAAATACTAACAAAACAAAGCAAGACGATGTTCATCCAATTGTAGACCTAATCCACCAATAATGAACAATTCATGGTCTAACAGCTGAGTATTATACTATTCGAAAGAGAAAAAATATATTAAGACATTATAGACATATAAGAGGTCAACGGATATTATATTCGATCTCTATTTATTCTTTCTCTTTCTCTTTATGCATGTCTTATTTCATTCAATCTCTGTCATGAAATAAAGATATCAAATTTTTTTTTCTTCATTCATCTCATTTTCTTTTATGTATTATACAAATTCTTCTTAGTTTCTATCTCTTTTGCTCAATGAATAATAACAGATTAACATATTTTAATATTAAACTCCATTTGATATCTCATTTTACTCTTCTCTATTGTTTCAATATATGTATACATATATTGCCCTCATAGCATTTGTTATATATTTAGAAACAAAAATGACAACATTATTTGAAAATTCGATCAATCAAAATACGAGATGTTTTGCTTGTGGATCACTTGTCTATGCTGTTGAAAAGAAAATGACAACACATCATGTAAATCTTACATTTTCTTTAATTAAAAAGAAAAAAAACTAATTTTTATGTTTTGAAAAATTTCTTCTAGATTTATCATAATCGATGTTTTCGTTGTCGTATTTGTAAACGAAATTTGACAGGATATTCACTTAATGAAGAAGGTGATGATATTTATTGTGGAAGTAAGTTTAGTAATATTTCGATAAACACAATTATATAATAATAATTGTTTTTTTTTGTCTAATTAGATTGTTATAGAAAAAAACAACGAGGTGATTGTGATAGTTTAGAATTTCATCGAGCAGCAGCTGAAAAAGCTCAATATGTTCATAATCGTCATCATGCAAATCAACAAAATCCATCAAGTAATCTACGACAATCAAGTCTTCGTGATGTATCACGACATCCATCATTAACATTACGTCAACTTGAACGACGATTTCTATCTCATAAACAACCAAACGGTACTAATAATAAGGTTTGACGAATTTCTCAAAAACAACAAAAAAAAAATTTTATTTATGAACTTATTTTTTATAGTCAACAAACGAAACTAATGAAAAATCTCTTACAAATTCTCATCCTTTAACAATTAATACCAATTTTTCAACTCCAATTAATTTAACATATTTTCGACGTGATTCATCATTATCAAAAGATGAACCAACTCCACATTTTTCATCTCTTTTTTCACCTATGTCAAGTCGTCGTACAGAAACAACGATTACACCTCGTATAACACAAAAAACTAACGATATCGATATTAATGATGAACAACCTAAATCAATAACATCACCAACGGGTAACACAACCTGTGGTATTGAATTTCGATTAAATAAAAGTAATATCGATTTAACTAATGTTACATCATCACGAAGTCGTCAAAAAAGTATTATTGTACCAGATCTTAATCAAAATAACGAACAAAACGATGGCAAATTTCATTTTCCAGATTTTAATATTAAAGCAATACATCGTCGAAGTAGCAGCGCTCATCATCTAATACATCCATCACGAGTTGATTAAACTTATATCTATAAAACAAATACAAGGATTATATTTATTGATATTCTATGAATATTGGAATTTTCTTTTTGTTCTTTGCATTTGGCAACAGTAAAACAGTAAAGTTCTAAAGAAAATACATGAATTGTATATCCAGTATTAGAATTATAGCCTAAAATAAGTAAAAACATTTATCAATACTAGTTTAGTATACAGAATAATGACTAATAAAAATGCATAGAAGTGTAAATTTTGAAGTTCTTTGTTTTCATCTTTGTACGAGTTAAAAATGTGTTATTTTAGGCAGATATATTGAAAGCTAATCGAATATGACTGTAAATAATTACTTCTAAATACAACTGAAATATATTTTTTTCAATTAGTATCAAAGATTTCCCAAGAGAATATCAACATAGTATTATAAATTTCGTAGAAAACTTCGTCTCAACATGTTCTGTTTCATGTAACTATTGTGTATTGTTTTTTCTAAATCAATATTGACCAAAAAGGTAATCATGTACTTAATAAAATTTATTGCAATGGATAGTAACTTGTAGCGTTTCTTCAATTCATGGTATTTTATTACAAATATCAACCGATAAGAAAGGTATAATTATTTAACAATTGTAGTCTGTTAATGAACGACATCTGTCAATAGGTAAACAACCAATTGAGAAAACTTTCTAAGAAGTCTAGCTGATAGAATTTGATTTGATCTTTATCAACCTACAGATACTATAATCGACACGTTTTGTTTATTTGTTTGCTTTATAGTCTGTTTTTCATTTAATCGTTTTTTTAATTGTCAAATGGACTTTATCATTGCTTATAATGACTAAGATCAAGAAAAAAGAAAAGAATAAAATCGACAACATCCACATCATCAAGATCGAATGAATCAGAAACAATACAGATTAAATAGATGAAATATTAAATTTGCATAACAAAAAAAAATTATTTATATGATACAAAACCATTCTTATCATGTCATCAAAATTTGAATGATGAACGATGATGTATATGGATTGATGATATACTAATATTGACACTTTCAATGAAACGATTGCTGTTTCATATAGAGCTATTCAATGTCAAGTATTGTTTTAGAAAACATATCATATTGAAACTATAAACAAATATTATGACCTATTCTAAAATTGATTACTTTCGTTAAATATGAAAACGAATCTATATCTCATTCGTCCAGTGATTAATGACAATTTCAATCGAATTAATGAAATACAATTTGGTCTTGTATATTAGCTGTAGGTAAATAATTGCAATAAATAAAAAATTATTTATTCGTGTAATTTTTTTTTTCCAGACAGCATTTATTTCAAACTTTGTCATTAAAAGGGAAATAATCAACATAAAAGCAACGTATAAGAGAGCAAGAAAGAAATTGTTCTACTATAATTTAGATATTAATAGAAGATCTTGTTAAAAATAGTTTATTTTCTTTTACTTTTCAACGATGCGAAAAGTTTTTATTTTTCAGATATCTTTTTTTTTTTTGTTTTTAAACATACTAACTTTAATAATATAAAGAATGTCGTCAGAACAAAGCGGAAATCCACTTCGAAAATTTAAACTTGTATTTCTTGGCGAACAGAGTGGTAAGAAAGTGTTAATGTTTAATATAATATTGTGATGGTTTTTATTTTCTTTTTTTTTTTAATATTTAGTCGGAAAGACTTCATTAATAACTCGTTTTATGTATGACAGCTTTGATAATACATATCAAGTAAATATTGATAATTTTATTAAAATTTTATTTGAATAATATCATTTTAGGCAACAATTGGTATTGATTTTCTTTCTAAAACTATGTATTTAGAAGATCGAACTGTTCGATTACAATTATGGTAAAAATTTATCATTTTAAATATAATTTATAATTTAATATTTTATTAAATTAGGGACACTGCCGGACAAGAACGATTTAGGTTAAAAGATTTTTTTTCACCCTTTTTTCTTATTGTTATAAAATAATTTTTTTTTTTTATTAACAGAAGCCTTATTCCAAGTTATATACGTGATTCTACTGTCGCTGTAGTTGTTTATGATATAACAAGTAAGAATAAATAAATATGGTATATTAACAATTAGATTTTGGCCTGTTTTTTTTCTTTAGATTCGAATTCATTTCAACAAACATCTAAATGGATTGATGATGTTCGTACAGAACGTGGTAGTGATGTCATAATAATGCTTGGTAAGATCTTTTTTTCTTGAATTGATTTATTTTGATGGAATGGTTTTATGTGTTGTTTCTTTTTAGTCGGTAATAAAACTGATTTAGCTGATAAAAGACAAGTATCAACTGAAGATGGTGAAAGAAAAGCGAAAGAATTAAATGTTATGTTTATTGAAACAAGTGCTAAAGCAGGATATAATGTTAAACAAGTACTATGTTATATAATTATTTATAAATTTTTCATAAATTTTGCTGTATTTTTTTTAGCTATTCCGACGTGTAGCAGCTGCTTTACCTGGTATGGAAACACCTGAACGTCGACCGGAAGATTGTAAGTTTAATATTAATAAATAAAATAAAATGTAAAAATTGTTTTAATTGTTTTTTCTTTTTTTTTAGTAATTGAAGTCAAACTTAATGCTCCAACTCATGAACCTGTTAATGATAATCAAAGTGGTTGTCGTTGTTAATTAATAAAAAAAAGAAAAATGGCAAAAAAAAATATCTCTCATTGGTTTCGTCTCATAAATATTGTATTTCTTTTTAACTTATATTCTTCTATAATTAAAGAAAATCATCAAACCAAACTTTCTACAATGCATTCGTGAACTTTTCTTTTTCTTTTGATTTCGTTTCGTGAAATAAATCTTCTCTCGTTTTTTTTTTCATTATAGGCAAAGAGAAAAATAAGCAAACAACCGAAACATATTGTCTTCGTTTTTTTTTCTTCTTTCTGTTCTTTTTATCTTCTAATATGTTAAAGAGAAATGTGTTCACATTTTTAATGCTCTATATTATTGTCATTTGTTTAACAAAAAAAAAAACATTTCTGTGTGTATCTGATTCCAGCGATGTGTTTTTTTTTAACATACATAATTATGATGAATTTGAAATTAAACCATGAGAGTTTGTTATTACGTATATTAAAACAATGAATTGATTTGTTGCATTTATTTTCGTACTTCAACAATCAAAATATCAATTGCATAGTAAATATTCAACTAAGATACAATAGTTTATTTATGAAATGTTTGAAAGATAAAAATCAATTATTCATTGCACAGAAAATATTTTTTAGAAAATAAATCCTTTTAGATTTGTTTAAAATCATTTTAAAATATATCATTTACAAGAATCTCGTCAAATTCAAGTAGTAACATTATTAAATGTAATTTGAACTCATGAAATACCAATCAACCCAATCCTATATATAATAGAACCATTGCTCTACAAGTCAATTTTTATATTAAACTATCTAAATCGTTTGTGTTAGAACAATTATGTATTATTTTCAGTACATTGTAAAGCAAAATACTAACCGATGAGTCATAATAAACTAGGCTAAATGTAAATGGAATTTTTCTCGCATTTACTATTTACATAAAAATGCTCATTTATACGCTAAAAGAGAAGGAGAATGTGAAACTCTACAAAACTGTGTAGTTCACTTAAAAAAAAATTTTTTTGTTCTATGGTGAAGCGAGCAACACAGTGGTGTACTCATAGAAGATCCGTTCTGTGACGTTTAAAACAAGCAGAATAATGCATAACATCATTAGTGAGAAGTTCACCAGGTTTCTAATTAAATGAAAGCTTCAAGTGAAAAGTTAAGAAATGTCGATCGAGTCACCAGTCACTTAGTCTAGTAAAGAATAAAAATTCTGTATTTTTTGGTGCAAAAATAGAGACCTTGTAAGAAATCTTTAACTCAGAAAGAGCTTCAACTTTTCAAAAATTCTGCTAAAATCATGACGAAGGATACTTACAAGAAAATTTTAATTGTCCAGATAATCTTGCATATTCAAAAGTGAATTAATAGGAAACTGAAATCTCCATCTACTTATACAAAATCCTTTGCTTAGGTAGGAGATCAACTTTGATGATCAAACATGTTTTTGAAAAGCAGGAGAGCCACAATGCATTGTATTTGGAATATGCAGAATACACACACATGTTTAGATTGTAGTGCAAAAGAAAATAGGTCTTATTAAAAATGTGAAGTGAACAATTTTGTAAAAATTCAAGCGTTCCATCTTTTGACATATACGTAATTGAATATTTTTTATGAATATTAAATAAGAGAAAAAAATGCATTTACATTTAGTTCGAATCGTTATGATTCATAGGTTATTTTATTTTTTATAGCGTCAGATAACGTACTATTGAAAAGTGAAAATTAGTTCCAAATTTTTGAGTGAATTTTTTTAATCTTAAATCATAATTAAAGAATAGATACAAGATTATATATGCATTAAAAACAAGAATGTCACGGTTATACGATTCTGAACGTATTTCATAATAGAAACGAATTTCTATCCCAATTATTGAATCTTGTCGTTGAACAAGTAATTATTCTTTTCTAAGTATAGGTTTAAAAACCTAATTAGGATTCCAAATATTCGAACTGAATTGTTCTCGAACATTGTTGATATCAGTTCGTAGTATTGACATATAGAAATACTTTATACATAAACAACAAAGAAAATGTTTTGATTCCTGAAGAAAGATCTATCGAAAATTCTAAATGAATCACATTATGGTATTGTACCCTCATAGATCTTCATTAACGCAACCTCTTTTGAAGTCAAAGGTCACTATAGATATGTATGGGCCGAATTTGTGTTATTTTTCTCTTTTATCTGCTATTTCAAAAAGTATTCTAAAAGTATACATTTCAATCAGATCAATAGCAGAATAAGAACCAATCTGCCAGTATTACGGGTACTCCCTTTCTTGAGTGAAAATTTTTGTTTTTTTGTTTTTTTTTTGGTTTTTGTGGCTACTATATAGTCTGAAGTAATATCTACCTACGCAGTACATTTTGAAATTCAAAAATTTTCTTTAAACGTTAAAAAAATTCGAGAAGAAATCAAATTTTCATAACGCAAATAGCGAAAATTGTACATTATTTCGCGTTTTACTTAAACCAACTTTTTCATGAAAAAAAAGAACAGCAATACTGCCTGTTTCTCTGATCTAGTACGTCTGATCGTGCTGAAACTTTTGTCAAATATATTATATACTGTTTGGAATGGATATTTTTCTTTTTCAAAAAAGTATTGTTCTATTGATTTTTGATAGCTCTTAGAAGAGAAAGGTCTATTCAAAAATAAACATGCGTTTTTAAGGGTAACTTCGATATTTGTTCAAAGAACAAAAAATATATCCATCCCAAATAAGGTCTAGTCCCTGTAAAAAAATGTTCAGTTCAATCAAACATAGCATCTTGGAGAAATGTGTGCAAAAAATGTGGCCCTTGTGATACGAGTGTCTCATAGAAGACAGTGTTCGGGAACTTTGAGAATCTGTGATAACTGTTGCTCTACACGTCAAGAGCTACTAGGCTTAAAAGGGTGTGAGTGTGGGTGTAAGTGTCGCTCAAGAGATGACACATCCATACCTACATCCAGATGATCCAAATGAGCAAAATGCCTTACTATTGGATCCAAAGCTACTGAGAAAAAACGAGTTTTCTTGAAGAATCAAGTTATATTTCATGGAACTTCAAAAGACTCACATGACTCCAACAGACCCCAAGCGACTCCGTACGAGTGAAGTTCTATGGAGTCTGATATTTCTCCCTTGGACTATTCTCAAATATTTCGTCCCACACGGGCATACACACTCGTCAAATGTCTTTTAAAAAAGTTCTGAGCACATCTATTGTTTCCATTAATATTACCAAATTTTACATCATTTCATTTTATATTTCATAATTTTATTATAACCCAGTTCACAATTTTTTTTACTTATTTTCACAATGAAATAACACATCTCATTCTCTCTATGAGTGTAAACTGTTTCTAATTTTATTTGAATTCCATCACCATCTACTAACAGAGATATTTTTCTTGAACAAGGAGATAACTTTTGAGCACAACTATATGCGTTGAGTGCTCGTGTATCAGAACTCAATGTAAATGCATACGACTAAAAACATGATTGACAACTGACATGACTTGGAATTGGTTAAAATTCTTCCTTTATATGAGATTTGTTGGCAGGAAAACCAAAAATTTGCCAAAAAACCGAAGATAACTTATTTTTTGTGTTTTTAATAACTTTATAATTCGATGGATCTATTTCTAATAACTAGCAATTTGTTCTACTGTAAATCTATGAACAGCTCATGGAGAATCAACAATAAAATATGAGGAAAAAGTGAGGATAGAAGAGGACAAAACAGTGGCCAAGCTTATTGAATCAAGTTGATCAGATTAACATCCCTACGCAAACATCTTCTAACCCAGGTTTTGGCCAAGATACAAGGTACAGAAAAGTGAACAGATCTTGGAATTTTCGGTACAAAATAATTGTATTATCTTGTACCAAGATCTGTGGCTATATCTTGGGTTCAGATTTTTAAGATCTTGGTAACAGGTATTTAAGACCTTTAATCTAATATCTTGTCTTTTACGATAATTTCTACTGATCCTGTTTGTAGATACTTATATCTGGTGTAAGAGTAATCAAGATTTTTAATATCTTAACTTTATATCTTGTGCTCTTATTTTTATTTAATACACAAAAACATTATCTATACGTTTACAAAACATCTAATTTTGATTAAAAGATATTGTAACAATAAAAAAAAATACTACAAAAACCTATTTAATTCACATGAATAAGGTTACAAATTCAACAAATATCTAATTTACATTAACTAATTGAAAGGATGAAAGTTTTTAGTTGAAAAGAAAAATTAATACAAAAAAAGTTAACTAATTAACAAAAATTGAATTTAATTAGAAATACAGTTTATTTGATTGAAATGATCGACAGGAAGAGAATTATAATTATAAATCATCTAAAAAGTAGAACAGTAATCCTGCTTTAAAATCAAAATCTTTCTAGACTAGTCTAGGACTAACACTTTAGAGAAAAATATAAAACGAAAACGTCATTTCATTTCAAGATTCCGTCAACACCGAAATCTAAATATTCTTTTGTCTATCATTTTTCATCAAAATTTTTATCTTTAAAAACAAAACGCTTATACAGCTCCTATATTTTCAAAACCTCGTATTCGATCGCGAGTCTTCTTCTCAGAAAAATGATAATATTTTTCATGAAGATACATTACACTAGTTGAAAAAAAGTTTAATCATACTTGATACAGTTTAGCTTACTTCGTTTTTCTTTGTTATTTGAATCTTTAATCGTATTGGATAACAGATGCCTTCACTGTTGAGAACTTCTTTCACAGCTGTTATATTTAAAAATCATTTGAGAATGTTTCCTACAAATAAATCAATGATATCGCTATTGTTTTAGTCAAGATCTAGGGCAAAGATATTCAGAGTTGTTATTTTTTTTGTGATCTTGACATCATAAAATTCTAGAATAGATCTTATCAGAATCTTGGGTACAAATCAATCTGATACAATGCACAAATATAACAACAAATTATCTTTTAAACATCTTGACAAGATCTTGCTTATAGCATGTTTCACTAGCAATTGAACAACAG